GAAAGAAAGAAAGAAAGAAAAGAAAGAAAGAAAAGAGAAAAGAAAAAAAGAAAAACAAAGGAGGGAGAAAGGAAAGGAAAGGAAAGGAAAGGAAAGGAAAGGAAAGGAAAGGAAAGGAAGGAATCTGTAACACTGAAGAAAAATCAGTTTCCAAGGCAGCCTGACTGACTGAGAGCAGGACTTTCTCAGTTGTCTGGCGGGGGAACTGCGGGCTCAGGAGACAGACCTCTGCTCCCAGAGCACAAAAACAAGGATGAACCTCAGGCCCAGACAGAAAGATCCTTTCTTCTTCCCTGACCAGAATCAGAGTCACATGATTTGGCAAAGGCTGACTTTAGAAATAGAAGTAAACCAAGAAATGGGATCAGAAACAACAATTAAAGCCTAATGATGCTAATGACGGCGGTGACCGGTGACGGTGGTGATGAGTGTCTTTCACTGAACACTCCCCATGAGCCACTCACTCTGCTGAGCGTCCTGCCAATGGGGCCCCAGGCTCTCCAGCAGTCAGGCGGCAGAGGGCATCTCCCTCGTACAGATGAGGGAAACAAGAATCAATGGAGGTAGTCAGCCTGCCCAAGGTCACGTTGGAGAAAGTGGCAGAGTGCGGGTCTGTCGTGTTTACCCGTATTGAGTTACCGTGAGTCACAGAAACCACGTCATGCCCCACAGGCACATGTGCACATTCTGTGTTCTGCCCCCACAGTGGTAGCTTGTGCTTTGTGCGTGCCTGCAGTCACAGGGATGGGCTGGGGGGTGGGGGGCTGCTACACCAGAGGAGGAGGGGAGGAGGAAGCCGCCCATCCCAAGGAGGAAATGAGGAGTTACCTGAAGCCTTCCATTTTAAGACTGCCCTCAGCCAGTTCTGTCACATGAACAGAAACTTATTTATAGCAATCTAGCTCCAGACATGTGGAACTCTGAAAGGGGAGTATTTTTAAAGTTCCAGAGGAAGGGGAGCCCCTGGTGATCATTACAAATCAATTCAACCTCTGCATCCTGCATCCTAAGGTTTCACACTCTGCCCTTGTCACTCCAGGACCCCCAAAGAGGAAGCAACTCCAGCATCAACAACAACAACAACAACAAAAATCATTCACATTACAAATAACAAGAAAACCAGGGGCGCCTGGGGGTTCATTGGTTAAGCATCCAACTTCAGCTCAGGTCATGATCTCACAGTTTATGAGTTCAAGCCCCGCATGGGGCTTTCTGCTGTCAGCGCAGAGCCTGGAGCCTGCTTCGGAGTCTGTGTCTCCCTCTCTGTCTGCCCCTCCCCTGCTCACACACACTCTCTCTCTCCCTCAAAAATAAATAAACATTTAAAAAAGATGAAAAAAAAAAGCAAGTAATAAGAAAACCAGCCCCTGGAGGACAAGGTGGCAGTTATGGCTAGGTTCTTGCTATTTCTAGGACTGGAAGTCTAGACTTGCCTCTCTGTCCTGGTGTCCCTTCAACTCTGCAAAGCTGTAACTTTGAGAGGAGTAATGCTTGATTTACACAGAAAGACTGCTTGGCTTTATCAAGATAAAAATGAGGAAGGACCTACCCTGATGCTGGTTTGTTCTCTTGCTCCTCTGTGAGAGGAGGCATAAGGAACCAGAGGGAGAAAAAAATTTTTTTTTTTTTTACATTGCAAACCATTCTACTCCTCCTCCCCCTTTGGTAAAGAAATATTTAAGTTGCATGCATTCTTGGAGAGAATTTTCAAAAAACACTCAACCCACAAGAATTCTGTTCATCCCACAAAATCTGCTTTGGTCCTGCGTGCATTTGCTAACACCGTCCTGCACTTTTAGCCTATCAGCATTTGCCTCTTGCGCCTTTAATCCCAGTCGGTTAGGATAACACAGACATCTGCTGCTCCAGGAAACAACAGTGGCAGCCAGGACTCCTCCCAAACGAGCTCCAATCTGAAGTCATTGTAAAAGGAATGGAAAAGAAGAGGCCCATATTTACTTGAACGTCATTGAACTCTCTGGCTAACTCTCTTTAGGTTTACCTTGGTTTATTTTATTACTTGGTGTTTGTTTCACTTATTTATTATAGTTAATGTCCAGTATTCTGGGGGGTTTTCTTCAATTATTGATGAAAACAAACACTGCCCACAGTTTATTAAAATGGCTTGCTATCTAGATAGCATAGTTTTGAAAATAAGGTTAACAGTGAGACAGGGGGGAAAATAAAGCGGCAACCATTTTGGAGTGCTCTCCCTTCCCCAATAAGGCAGGGTGGAACAGTACCCTTCTCCTGGGAATCCAGGATTCCACTTGCTGCAAGTATCACCTGGCCAGCAGTGCATGAGCCACCCCCCCCCCACCGCCCCAACCCCCAGGCCAGTGCCTCACCAGCAATTGTTGTGAGGCACAATGTAAACCAACTTGCTGTTCCCAATTCCAAGTGGTAAATGTTTTGTTAATATCAGGTCATTTCTATTTTTAACCATGTAGCATGATATTAGGCTTTCCCAGCGGTGTGAAATTCTGGCATGTCCTTCCACATCAAAGAAGGAGATGCATTTTCTAACAAAGGGGGAAAATGCGGAAGGAATCTTTCCTTTCTTAACCCAGCCAGGAAAGGGAGATGTCAGGCCCTGTTTAGAAACAGTATTGTTGGGTCCTTACGTTGGGTTTCTTTACCATGACAGGGGATAATTTGTCTCTAGCAGAGCAAAGGTGAATCTGGGCACTGGATCTACAGAAATGCTCCAAGAAGTTTTCCTATTTTAAACTATTTAAAATATCACTGGAAACCCCCATATAGCACATGATTTCTTGGGGTTTGTTCAGTCCTGATACTGGAGAAGAAATCTTTTGGCACTAGATTTTTCTCTTAATTTCGTTTTTTGAAAATGGAATTTTTTTGTGTGGTTATTTTGTTTTTATTATTTTGCATTCAGGGACTGATATTTCCCCCTGAAACAATAATGCAATTGAGCTAACATGCAGTGCTAGACGCTGAGGGGATTCAAAAGGTAAGAGGTGGTCCTTACCCTGAGGGGTCCTCACTGATCAGCAGGAGACACGGGCTCAAAACAAAGCAACTAAATACAACAGTAAAAACGAAAATTGTGTGATTCCAGCTGCTTTTGTATAAAGGAGCAATTAATTCGGCCTGGGGAAGAAGAGCTTGGCAAGGCGAGAGATGTCTCTTGAGCTGGATCTTAGTAGATCCACAGATTTGCCTGCCGTGCTGTGAACACCCCTGTGAAAGGCATTCAAAGTGGAGGAAGGGCAGGTGCGAAAGCTCTCAGGTAGGAAGGGTCTGATCCCGTAACTGGGAGGGATCCAGGGGGACAGAGAGCCACGCTGGAATGAGCAGAGCTTTGAAGAGAATGAAGACAGAGGGGAAGTGAATGCTGCCTTTCAGGTACTTCCTGCCTTAAGGAAGCAATTGTTGGGGACACACTTGTCAAAACGCCTCTTAGTGTGTTTGTCATTGTAACTTATTAAAGCAGAGACGACTATTTTTGACCTGGCATTTTGGGGCAAAGGGAAGAGAGTCGTGATGCCTGGCTGAGTGTCTCGACACTTGCTAAATGTGCTGATGAGCTCTTGAAGCTGGACGTTGTGTATTTCATGTTCCTCACGATAGGAATTAAGCAAAAAGTCATGAAAGTTTGTCGCAGACCTAAGCCAAAGATACTTTTTTATAAAATTGTATTCTGCAGGCTTGTCTGAGACGACAGGAATACAGAAGAGACCCAAATGAGAAGAAACAAGATCAATTTGGGGGGCAAGAGACAAATTTGGAGAGACCCCGGTTTTCAATTGGGTCATCTTCCAAACAGGTACTTAGAAATCTGGGAGATACCCTCCTGCTGCCGTGTGCGTGTGTGTGTGTGTGTGTGTGTGTGTGTGTGTGTGTGTGTGT